AATGTTTGGACTGAAATCAATACTGAGCATTATTTTCTCATGCATAAAAAACATGATTTTTACCATTTTGTTAGCAATTCTCAGCTCACATTATGAATATTCATATTTGGAATGAAACAATAAAACATAGGAAATGTTTTTTGTAATCATTCTGAACAATGTCAGAAGCTTGGGTCTTAAATGTGGAGATTGCAATCAGTGAGTAATCTTACTCAAGCTCCCCACATAACTTCAGAGGCTTGTGACTTCACATCGTTTATGATTCAATATTTTTATCCTTCTTGAATAATAGTAGCCTGAGGTTACATCCCCGTACACCTGACTTCACAAAATCAAAGCCTCTCACCAACCCTATTCCCAAACAACACAGAAGACAAACTAGCAAAGATAAGGTCTTTGCAAAGTCATAACATTCTCTTCAGTGCCCATTTATCAAATGATTAGTTTTTATTTTTATGCAAGGGATTTAAGAAAACTAGCCAAGACTTCACAGTCTAATTGACTTAAATAACCTAATGCATTATTCATCACAACTAATTTCATCTAAGCGATTTCAAAACTGAAATTGCATCTCTTTTGTGGAATCGTGAATTATTTCAAAACGATTTCTTTTCAAAGAAAACTGAACCATGAACAATTTCTGAAGCGAAACACTTCAAATGTTTCAAAATAATACCAAATATTCCAGGTGTTTGAATTAACAATCGAAAGCAGATGTTTTTCGCATATCACAAGAGAACTGATAATTATATCATTCCAATACCAAAATGATTAATTAAAACAAATGAGATTTTTCTCATGGGGAGATACAACAGCAACAATTACCTCCTCGAACAAGAAACGCCACATTGTTCCAGAGAGCTTAGCTATGCATGACATACCCCAGTGCGGTCATGGCCCAATGGTCCATGCTAACAAGAATCAACAGATATGGTCATTAAACCAACATGTACATTAACAGGAAAGGTAGCAGAGTACAGTCTAACCAACACACTGCATCGGTGAACTTGGGAGCATTGACAGAACAGTAGCCTTGCAATACGTGGACATCCATATTCATGATCTAGACACCAACTTGAAACCTTCAACCATTTGTAATCACTTGTTTCTTTATTTGGCACATCTGAATAATTAAATATCAATGCTAAATACTACTTTGATCATTAACAAATATCCCTGGTCAGCATCTCAAGTTAATTATCGCAAATTAATGTGCATATGCTGTTTCCCTAGAAACCAGTTGTGTTTACTATTAAATCCTATTTGTTTTATTTTGAATACATCCCCTAGAAACCATAGCTGTATACAACTAAATCCTATTTGTTTTAATTTGAATACTTTCCTGAGAAAATGGTACTGTATTCAACCAAATCCTTAATTTGAATATTGTCATGAAAAAAAGGTTCTGTATACAATTTAATCCTATTTGATTGTATTTGAATATTGTCTAAAACAAACAGTACTGTATACATCTATATCATATTTGTTTTTATTCTGAGCAACTTTCCTAGACAACAGTACTGCACACAACTAAATCACATTTGTTACTATTTGAAATACTTTCACTTTCTCATCTGTCAATATGTCAGATATAATATATGTTTCATCATGTTTTCACTCAGCTCAAAGATGGACCGCTGATTCAATCCACAAGAGATATTTCCTTGTCTAGTGTGAGATATGGTCCACCTCTGTGACCCTGACTGAGCAAACTGAATCAGGCCTACTGCTGTTTAATCTTCTCCACAGCTCACAAAAGACCCTTTATGGCAAATCCATGCTGCTTTTATGACAAGTCACCAAGTTTCATGTCTTTCCTGCAATCTAACCCAACAATATTACTTACATCTTCGACTGACAGCACACCCTCGTCTCAACAGAATAACACTTACTTGAAGTCATATTTCAAAATCACTGTCCATGTTAACAATGAATTCAAATAAATTTATACAAAGGATTGATACATGCCTATCTCCATTTCTATATTTTTTAAAACACATGAGCATCACCATATTTCTCTATGTGCAATACTCGTAAGTCTTATTACTACGATACGCACACCTTGGCCATCTTAATCTTTGATGTACTATTTCCCTAACAACTGGTAACACCAAATGCTGGTTTCGGAAACTTGGAAGTGAAACAATTTTATCTCAAAACTAACAAAAATGTCATTGAAACAAATACAACAATTAATTTATTCTCTCTAATCATACAATTCTAAGGAAGAAGGAAAATTATGATAATCATTTTTGCAACATATTACGCATTCTAAGTCCAAAAGAATGCTAAAGCAGAAGACAATAAAACTGTGGAAAATGTTATCCTCACATAATGACAAGCAGAGATCAAAGGAAATAAATTCTCCCACAACAATAATTATATACCCTGCAGTCAATTGACATTTATTCCTACACTGTCTATTAAACAGGACAATTATATTCCATAAAGAGCAAATCCAAGGGTTATTAAACAGCATAATTTTTTTTATGGTTGACATTTAAGTGAATTACATTTTAAAGTATGTTGTAAAATCTCACATGAAGACCAGGATGCCACTTTCATGGCTTTCCACACTCCAAAATGTGTTAGTTTCATTGAACACCGAAATTGGGAAACAAATATGTATTTTTAATGAAATTTGTTACCCCAAGTTAATCGTGTTGATGCAGATATTACAAGGGATCTGGGAGAGAGCTGGCCAGAATTCATCAAGGGTGTTTCCCATAAAACTGTCTCAGTTTACATTGTAAAATACAACATGCTGTATTGGGTTCCTTTTGGCCAGACAAATACAACATGCTGTATTGATCAGGGACATGGATTCTTTTGGCCAGACAAATAAAAGAAAAAAAACTAGAAAAAAAACAATCAGGAAAATGTGTTCATATTCCCCAGCAATTGGCACATGTGCCCGAGCATCCCCCCCCTGAACATTTACTCAAGATATATTAAATTCACATACACACCCTTAAAAGTCTTTTGATATTTTCAGCGCACAATGACTGTTTACATAATTGAAATATGATATACTCCAAAAATCACAGCTCTTTTTCAATAACAATGGCAGCAAGTTGATATCATGAAATATACACTCCGAATCAAGACGTCTACATCAAAACATTAATTACACATTAAGGCACAAACAGATCACATTCCAACTCTTCAATAACTTCAATAAAGAAGAAAAAGCATCAAAAGGATTAGAGCTACATTTTTAATAATAAAAGTGTTTAAAGAGTTCAAACGACATATGTAATACAATTACAGACCAATCGTTTGTTTCTCACTTAAAAGAAAACAGGAATATCTGTTTAAGCTCAGATTACAGAAAGATGCAACTTCCAAGGTGATTATCCATATTTGGCTGCGGATGCAAATATCTGACTATAACCCTGTGTGCACGGAATAATTCCTCGTTATCATGTGGCTTATCGCTGCATGTGCACTACCTCCTGCCCATCATCGCCACCATGGCAGTCTTCATAGGTGGATTCAATAATGGCTGCCACGTTGCTGATCTCAACAAAGTTGATGTGATAACATTTTTTATGATTCTTTCTCGAAAATTGGCAGTGCACCGTCCCACATACAAAGAATTAGGCTCAAGATCAAAAGGCGACAAACCACCGATGCAACTTCCTGTTAGCGTTAAAGTGTTCAGTCAAACATCACAAACTGGGAACAAATGCATTATGGGACCTCAAATACCATATATCAGATGCTAACATGATCGTAAATAAAATAATCCTCTTGTGCAATTCTTTCAAAATTATCTTTACGCACATATATAAATCTAAATTTGATGCCATATATCAGATGCTAACATGATCGTAAATAAAATAATCCACTTGTGCAATTCTTTCAAAATTATCTTCACGCACATATATAAATCTAAATTTGCCTATTTCCATGAAAAATATAAGATCAAATGGCATGGACGCCAAATCCAATTTCAGCCAAGTTGGTACATGAAATATTATCATTCCACTGGATGACATTTGGAATTGATATGAAAAATATTCCTTCCCTATCAATTTGGTGCAGAATTTGTCATAGTTAGAGACATGGACTGGTTGCGATAGTTAATGCCGAGAATCAAATCAAACAGTGAAAACTCCATCATGAAGATTGCACAAGCAATGACAACAAGCTAAGTACTATGTCTGCGTCTGCCTATACAAGATACTGTTTTCCTAGTTGCTAGGTCTCTTTCCACTCAATTTGATATCTTCTTGACAACTGCCTCTGGGCATAAGTCAGAAGACGAGACTCGACATAAATTCTTGGTGTTTTGTACGCAACTCAAAGAATACATGGCTGATCAAAGACTGTGTAACAGTGCGGGATAAGACAACATAATTATCCTCAATGCTTCTGTGATTTTAGGCTGCTTTAATTGATGAATCATGCTACTCCAATGTGCAGTTTATGTGGGGCCTGCTCGGAGCCAGGCTGTCACAGCCCGTGCCAGGTCATCACGGGACCTGCACACATCCAGGTTCTCCCTATCAATGCAATCCATTCTCGTGAAATATGTGGATTCCCCTCGAAACATATTAATTCTTCTTTTGTAGACGTTTATACTTTTATACCGGTTAATAGCGTGCCCCATGAGAAATCAAATTTCAACGCCAACATTTCAAAAAGAACTTCTATTTACTTGTTGGCTGATTGAGAAGCCGATTAGTGGAACATTTAATCGACTTGAAACTCCGTTCTGATGTTCAAGTTTTTGTAATCAATTGATCTTTTTGCCATTAGCTACTGAAGACAGAAATTTATAACAGATTAATCAAACCCTTAAATCTTAAGAAGGATTTGGATGGCACTCTCTGGCACTCTATCATTCTACTGTCAACTGCCTTTCAGCTCATATAAAAATATCTCAATATTTCTGTGATGCTGGCAAATTCAATCTGATGAATTAGGGGAAGTGCAAGTGTAGTATGTCTTCATGTGCCTGGAAATGTAATAAGGAAAATCACAAAAATCCCTACCTGAATCTTTGGCGAAAATGATGAGTTTGTACTCTGCTGTGGCTTCCCTGTCAAGAGTCTGATGAACAGTTATCTCCCCTGAATGACCTTCAATTTGAAATATTCCATCATCGTCCAGAAGAGAATAAGTCAGTTGACTGTTCGGTGTCGAGTCATCATCTCTGGCCGTGACTTGCATTAAGTGAACGGGAATGTTTTTGTTGTTCTCTTGAACAAACGCTATATAGGGTGAATCTACAAACACAGGTGCGTTGTCGTTGACGTCAGTGACATTGATGACAATGGAAGCTGTTGCGCTGTTCACAACATGGACGCCACTATCTTCTGCTTGGACAATCAGGTTATACTGCTTATTTCGTTCATAGTCAAGATTCTTCTGTATCCTTAGAACACCACTACTCATGTCCAGGTTGAAGTCATAGTTCTCGTCCCCTCTGATGATGTAATAGCGAATGATTCCGTTCAACCCTTCATCCAGATCTGTTGCCGAAACCTTCAGCAAGCTCTTGCCTACACCAATGTCTTCTGGCACTGTTGCACCATACGTCTGCTTCACAAAGTTCGGGGCATTGTCGTTTACATCTTCAATGTGAACAATCAGATTCTGAGTGGCACTCAAAGATGGCTGACCCTTGTCTGTAGCGGTGATGGTTAGAGAGTAGTTTGCGATGGTTTCCCGATCGAGACCTGTGTTCACTTGGAGGTATCCGCTGGCTTGGTCTAGAGTAAATGGGTATCCGAACCCTGGAACAGACGCGAGACTGTATGACACCTGACCATTTTGGCCCGAGTCAGCATCTGTTGCCACCACAGTGAACACAACCGATGCCCTGCTCGCGTCTTCCTTTACCCAGGTAGCATTGGGGCTCTTGAACTCCGGCGGACAGTCGTTCACATCCTTCAGGTGAATTGTGACCTGTAGCAGAAAACGATGGATTTTTTATTCAAATCTTGGAACTTACTAAACAAGGATTAACAAGTGAGTGAGTGGGTGAGTGAGTGAGTGAGTGAGTGAGTGAGTGAGTGAGTGAGTGAGTGAGTGAGTGAGTGAGTGAGTGAGTGAGTGAGTGAGTGAGTGAGTGAGTGAGTGAGTTTAATGCTGCTTATAGCAATATTACAGCCATATTACAGAAAATAAGCTTCACAAATTGTACCCATATGGGGATTGAACCCAGGCCTTAGCACAATTAGCCAAAGTTTAAACCAATAGGCCCAACTGCATCTCTCATCCCTGTTAATGCCAGTTTCTAAATAAGTATCAGCTATTGCAGAATGGGAGCAGCCATGTTGGGAACAAAATGCTAAACCTTCTTGGGTGAATTCAGAACCTTCTTGTGCCAAATAGGCAGATTGGGTATTTCACTCCACAGAGAGTTGTGAATGCAAAATGAATGTACACCGATCAGTTGACCAGCATAATAATTGCACATGCTAATAACATGTATTGTGTGGGATACAAATGTACACATCATCATCATCATCATCATCATGTACCCTTAGCTGGGCCCTCCTATCACCTTTCCCTAAGCATAGCACTGCTTTAAACAGTAATATCCGGTAATATATAATACATGTGAAACCTTAGGCTAACTTAATTAAATAATGTTAGGAATTGCCACAGACATTGATGAAATTCTGATTGATTTCTGTATGAAGTATCATCTAATCACTAATCTCATGTTGATATTAGTCAAATCTGTTCACATAATGTTATCATGTAAATGAATTATATCACCATTCAACACAAATTTCCGATAAATTTTACACACAAAATAGATTTGTTTTTTAAATATATTTTTTAACATGAATGTTTGATCAAGCCAGTTTACACTTGACATAGTGCAATCAAGTTTATCAACTAAAATCAGTTTTAAATTACTACAAGAATCCTTAATCAATTGGGTACTGGTGTTCTTTGAATAATTAATCCTATGGATCTAGAATTGGGTCAGAAAAAACTTGCAGTGCTCTATGGCTCCTGGAAGCTGGAATTAGTTGTAATCAGACACTATTTCTGACACTATACAGGAGAGGCCTGTTAATTATGAAACAATCACAAGCCCGGGACAGCCTGCCTGCTTGGCACTCAAATATGCTATTATATCATTAAAAGCAAGGACAAAAAACAAGAGGTATTATTACAGTTGCTGAAGTTGATAATCTATCACTAGGGGGCTCGGCTTGGTCAGTTGCTATGACGATCAGATGATAGGTTGGGATGGCTTCTCTGTTCAGGAAGCCGATGGTGTAAATTGTTCCATTTAGTGGTCCGATGTCAAACTGGTTTTTCTTATCTCCACCAGCTAGAGAATACCGGAGTTGGCTGTTGATGCCTGTATAACAAAACAAAAAACAAATAAAAGTATATTGAGAATATTTACAGCTGTGAGACTCATGGACAAAATATCATATTGATCAAACATTATCAATTATTCTAATCCAAAAATGTATTGCCACAAAAAGAAAATATTTGGAACATTTACAGTTTCGTCATAGACAAGTATATGCTGTAAAACAAATGCATGGCTACCATTAGCTCCATTATGACTAAAAGGGTATTTATATACCAATCAAGGCAGGTATGTTGATACTAGACACAATGCACCTGATGCAATGACTGGGCAAACAATGGTTTCCATAAAACTACCTTTAATACATCTGTTTGATCACTCACTGTGTCTTATTGTCTACTTCACAGGGTAAAATAACACTGAGATATCCTATCAGTTGAAAGCCTATTTTGATAAGTTCAAAATAAAAACTAGGGTGATTAAGTCAGTCAATCTCCTCACGCAGAACTGATAAAACAAATGCACTTAACATTTTTTTACTTAATAAACCTGTCTTTAATACTTTGTGGCTCTAATCTTCCCTGGAAACTTTACTGAACATCCTTAGAATTACTTTATTCCTGTTTTTAAGGTTAAGTTTATCACTTGTTACGATTTATAGCTCATTCTTCCAGCTAAAACAAGTATCCTTTTACGTGTCGCCAGGAAACTAGCACCTGCTGGCTATGAACAAAAACTATTCCCCTGACAAGGACTGATATTGCCTGTTCACACATACCCTGTCTGGTATTCAACAATCACCTACCATAAATCATAAAGTTTAATCTTTCCAAATATCTTCACAGCTTGGCTGGGGAAAGCATTTAAACAAGTTTTATGTTCTCTATTGTGCAAGGGGGAAAAAAATGGAAACTTTCTGGCATATACTGGTTGTATATCTTAAAGATAAGGGATTATATACACATTTTGATGCAATAAATGAATGAATTGGAAGAATCTTGAAAGAAGAAGTTCAAATTTGTCACTAAGTGTACGCACCTTCATGAACCCATAGAGTAAATATGCCATATACCGTAACATCAAAAAATGTTCTTTCACAACTACGACTGCATTCATACAAGAAAAAGGATTCATCCATTTCAAAACAAACACAATATTTGAAAGTAAAATGTTACGTTGTGTGACATATAATTTAGAAGAAACTCACATAAAACATTTGAAGCAAAAATCCTTCTCATGTACAGAGAAACTATTTAGCTTCGAGTCATTTCAATATTTGCTGAGCATGTCTGATATAATTCACCATGTGTGAACATGTTTTATGGACTAGACAATACAGCTTCCAAGAATATTATTAAGCAAAGCCAACTCCACAAGCAAAATATTTAAACGAAAGAAAAGATAAATACTCCAGGCAAAGTACAAATCCTACATATGGCTTCTCAAAAGCAACCATTATACTCCTGCAGCATGACCTATAGGATAAGAGAGTTTGCGCCTGTGTTATGTAACCGACAAAACACATGTCACGTGTGTGATATGTGCCTGTATCAGCAGAGGGTGTCTGTCAAAACATGAACTGGGTTTACATCGGAACAGGAGTCAGCATTTGTGTAGATGCGAACATGATTAAGGTAGGGGATGAAATTCAAGTGTATAAACTTGCACAAAAATCACATCAAACAGGTGATTCTATATACACAAGCAGACGAAAAAGTCTTTGAAATCCTGATGCAATCATTTGATTTAACATTTCTTGTACTGTGTGATTAGACTCACAGTGTCCGAAGCATACATATTAGCAGGATCTATTTCTTTCGGCTCTTTTGAAGATTCCATCACTGACAAAACGCATTATACTTGTGTTCAAGAGCATTACTCTTGTGTTCAAGAACGTTCATAATGCCAATGTCATCTGTCTAGATATCTAATCATCAATTGATGACAGATTTTTGAAAACCTTTAACTCCAAATAAAACCAAACGGATCTGAAGCGATCTCACAACTAAAGAAATGAAACTTTCAAAACTGATGAATGTGCACTTTTTCGCCTTCTAGTGTGTAGCTGGTGAAATGAATGCAACGTTTCATTTGAACTGTTCATCGATCTTCACATTGTTAAGGGCCTTTTGTCATTCGAAGATGCACCAGCAGTTTTTACGATGCAAAAGTTAGGTTATTTGTCAGCAAGGTTTGAACTACATCTACTCGACGGCTATGCAAGATTTCCAACCATTATAGTTGATTATGCAAGATTTCCACCCATTATTGAAAACGCTGCTCTGAAGAATGAGGATTCTATTCAACGATGAGTCACAACGCTATATGTACTGTTAAAGAAAACTATCCAAAATATTGATTTCATCTTATTCCACACAAAGAAATATACAGCCTCTGTATTTGCGATCATGATATGGAAACGATGCAATGATATTAATAAAAATACACCCCCATTTATTACTTGAAGGAATTTCATTATTCTGATTTATATTCTTCTTCTTGTATCATCTTTTCATGTAGCATGTAAAATACACATATATTTTTTTCTAAAGACATGTTTTATTCATGTCATTTGTAAGGAATTGAAAACTTAAATGTAAAATCTGTCTGTGCATTTCAAAATGATTTAAATGGTCGATTGGTCCTTGAAGAATTCCTTATCTAATCTGAAGGAAACCAGAATGAGGCTGTAATCCCATGATGCCACAGTGATAGCTTCAGTACGTAAGTCGACACAGAATGCTAAGAATAGTCAGTCAATGTCGTCTAAGCTACCTTGATAATAATTATGTTTGTTTTGGATTTCTTTCGAGTTTTAGATTGGCAATTCATACGAGATCTTACAAATATTCACGTCTGCTAAATTCCTTTTTCAATAGGGGTATTTGCTTCCGTGCCAAATTGATCGACTTGCAATTATTTTGAGGTTGTCTTTAAAGCAGGTATAAGGAAGGTAAGAGACGTGTTCCCAAAGAAAACACTGTTGCTATTCCCAACAGCCCTGAACCACACCCACTTATTGACCGACATGGCACTAATTATAACACAGACTTTCAACATAATCCCTTGGGGCCTTACAGACATTGTCGATAAAGATGTTTCCTAGCCAATTTGATTGATACAGCAAAAACCCATGTTTCTTTTGTTTCATATTGAATTCTGGAAAACAATATAGTTGAAACACAAAGAAAAGCATAAAATGCTTACTTTATGATTATTAAATATATCAATAATTGCAACATTCTCATATTCTGTAGAGAGCTATTGTTTGACTACAAGTCTTCAATACAATGATCCAGTCCTTTTATATCACTTAAACATATGATAAAAGAACCATGCCTTATCTATAGAATGACAGTTGTAAGGGTAGTAGCATATGATATAGCCATTAGCCCAGTGGTTATCAAGAAGATAGTATCCAGTGTCCGTGCAGACCTCATCCAAGATAGCAAGGGCAATGCATTAATAATTCCTGGGAATCTTTAAAGAAAGGGACTCGGATCCCCAGTGAAACAGAATCAATGATCATTACAACACTAGCTTGGAGTGGTCAGCCATGAAAATACTTCAGAATCTGTTATCATCGAGGATGGTCAATCAGCCATCTCATGACAAGCATGTGGCTACTAATGTGAGATGAATGCATTGCCATTTCGTTAAGAGTTTGATTGCTCTCACAGTGAGGAGAAGGTGAATTTTTAATAACAATTGCTTCGGTTCATTTCCGCCAGGTGTGGGTGGCACATGGTCTAAACTTGAACATGTCCTCCTCCTCAAGATGGCCGAAGATTCTATGCACCTGCTCATTCAGTCATTGCACATTTTCCATTCATTGATAGAATCATTAGCTGTATATTTTTCTTAGAGTGAGTGAGTGAGTATGGTTTTACGCCGCTTTTAGCAATATTCCAGCAATATCACGGCGGGAGACACCAGAAATGGGCTTCACACATTGTACCCATGTCGGGAATCGAACCTGGGTCTTCGGCATGACAAGCCAACGTTTTTTCTTAGAGGGAAGATCTGTCAAGGAAGATTTCCTTTCGTTAATTTCTGAAACACTATATGCTCAATCAATTACTGTTCTATCTATGATGTATTACCGTATTAAGTCCAATAAGAACAGCATTTTATATATAAACACACAAAATATTTATCCTGTGAACAATTTTTCCATCCAAACGTGAATTGCAATAAAACATAACATTGATGTCATAGTTAATTCTTCTGTTTTTATAGTGAGCATGGTTTTTAGCCACTTGATGCTGTTTCTAGCAATATTCCAGCAACAGAGACACCGGATATGATCTTCACATTTTGTACCCATGAGGGGAATCAAACCTGGGGCTTTGGCATGACAAGCAAGTGCATTAACCACTAGGCTACCCGTCGTGATTGGATTGGTGAGGGACAAGAGCATCACATGTACAATCTACAGTTTGCACCAATCCTGATTGGCCACCACAGCCAGGTGACTTCTTGATTTAGTCTTTTCAAACATTCAGCTGATAAAATAACAATGATTCATATTCATACTGACAGAATAAACATAGACTTGCAGAAGTCTCTAAGGCAAAAAGTAGTACTTTAAATCTTAATTTCTAGATTATATAAATAACAAGAACAAGTTGTCACTATAAGAGACTGGCATCCTGTCCACTTATCTAGACTTGTGTGTTATTAGGATAGAATTACTAAAGACCCATGACATATCATTCAGTACAGCCTTGGAGTAAGGCTAGAATAAACACTGCAAGTCCATTGACAGACGTCCCAGAAGAAACATCTTGCTCTTCCTATATCAATATGTAGAAAGTCGCTTGAGACATTACATTGTACAAATTAGGATGGTAACAAAAATATAATATTTCAAATCAATAAACGTCAAATACTGATCACTCCACATTTGTTTACCAAGTGCAGCAATCACTTCCACAAAGTTTCCTTTGTGTGCACAAACTAATCTATTATTGACAACACAAGGAATCAGTAGGTTTTAAACAATATCCAGTTGTAGTGTCTTAAAACCTAGACTCCCCACT